CTTTATATTTCACTACTTGCCCAAACTACAAACCAAAATGTCCATGTCTGAGGCGCTTTACGGCTGTATTGGAACTGTGGGCACATATTGCAAATCTTGTAAATGGTAAGAGGTAGTTGTTGCATTACATCGGTATTTACCGAAAAACATAAGAACATTGGGGATTTTTGAACGTCGTCCTTGCCGGCAGGCTTATACGATTTGGTCACACGCGCGAGGATTCGCGGCTTCGACACTCGCGCGCGTGACCTAATCATGAGCGTGTTGTCCGTGGTTGGGAGACTAAAGGGAAACGTATACAACTCTAGTTTTCCGCTGGCGGTAGCGTCCCGGGATTATTTGTACAGGTGATTTGCTATGCAAATGAGGCTGTAAATTTCACCATGAATAGCACGAAAAAGCCAGCAGGTTTGGTTTGACTTTTACAAAAATGGTCGTGTGTGTAATTTTTTAGGCCATAAGAGCGCGCACAGAATCCAGGATATGTTATAATCATATGAACATGTGTCTTGGGAGCATTTCCATACATTTTTTATAGACAAGACATGGACAAGGAGAAGACTACAATTATTGCTTATTTTCTCAGTCGTATTTCTAAATTGCTTTATTTGCTTTTTGTACCCAGACGTGGAGACATTTCTCTGCGATCTCGCGCAGGAATCACTTCAGATAAGCCACGAAAAGAGGAGAGATGAATTGCTAGAAAATGTGATAGAACTAAGAAGAAAGCTCAAAGAGCATAAAAACTCTATGAAGGCTACAAATGGCATCAGATCGCCGAGACCGAAGAGGAAAAGCTATCCTTTCGCGGCGGTACAGGACAGTATGCATACTTATGCAGCGCATTTACAAAAAGTAAATGTTGACGGAAAACCAAAGCCTCCCGGATCACCCGAAGTCAGGCGAGTGGAGAAACCTCAAATGCGTCCGCGTTCCGTGTCGTGTCCCGAAATACGCTTTACTTTGAGTCACGCGTGGAGAACGTCACTTCCCAAGGTCCCAGAAAACGAGGAGCTGAAAGTGGAGGGCGATGAAGGATCCTAATGCGAAAGGAAAGGACGGGAAAGTTGCGTTGTGTTAATGTTGACATATAGGTTACGTTTTATGCACATTCTAGCGTTCAGCGTTAACTCGAGAGGAGTGATAATAGGTTTGTTTAAGCTGGAATAGAAATTTTCTTCAAAAAGAATTTGACGTTAAAGAGAGGCGATACGGCAGATGGAAATACTACAGTGTGCTTTGATGGCCTCTTTTTACCTGTCACTAATGAAGAATCTAACTGAAACACAAACGAAATCAAGTCCATCTCTCGTGCGCTTGACGGTCCTTTTGGTCACGGAATTAAAGTGAAGACTCAGTGATCGTGAGCGGAAGTTACCTCTCATCTTGTTCGCTCCCCCCCCCGCTCCCCCGCCCTCCCTCTCTATCTCTCATCGTTCAGGATCCGTTTTTTCACGTTCAGTTCCAGTCGAGATGGTTACGGATAAGCAATTATCAGAGCACTGAAACAAGAGAGACCGTGGAAATTTAGTAACACAAAGATGTACAAATGGAGACGTTGCGTGACAAGGGATCAACATTTGTACGCGAACATGTCAATGATGTTACGCAGAAGTGTCACGCAACACGTACGACAACAAATGTCACTGGCTAATATATAGAAGATGACAACTAATAATAAGGCATCTAATTAAGTTATTTGATTTAATCGAGTTTTTATTATTATTTTAGACTTCAAATGACATGTGCTTTTATTTTTTATTGTATTATTTTCAATCTGCTGGTTGTAAGGCAACGGCCGTCAAAAAAATCTCCAGAAATCTCAAAGTTATTGTAATTATTTAAAACGACTCTTAAAGATTGGTGTTTGCCCAGAAATTTTCATATCAAAAAAAGACAAAGTAAAAGACGATCAAAATGACGGCTTGTCTTACTCGTCAAAGTTGTTAGGCTATGATCAATAATCCAAGAAAATGAAACAGATTCTACATTATTAATGCGCAACTGAAATGTTTTAAGGGATGAAAATGAAAAACAAAGGAGGATTTCATCCTCTAGCAACTGAAAGGAATAAAATCTGAGAATAAAATCTGAGAATATTTTTTTGTTTCCATGCTTTCAATGCCCGCACGTCTGGAAAGTTTCTAATTGTTTTTATAAATTATCTGATACTATGCGCGCTCTCATTGGTCGATAGGGGAGTTTGAATGAGAGTATGTCAACACGGTTGTGACGTTTAGATTCGCGCGTATTTTTGAGAAACATTTCATAAAAGCAATAGACCCTTTTCATAAATGGCTGCCAATTATAAATTCTTTTGTGAGTATTAAAATTGGCCTGACTAACCTCGTTTTCGAGTAGATAATTCAAAAGAATTTTTACTCTCAAACGAGTTTAGTGAGGCTAATTTAAATGTATACAAAAGAGCTTAAAATTGGCAGCCATTTATGAAAAGGGTCTAAAGAGTATATTTTCCGTGTTATAGCCTCATCTAAACACTTGGGGACGGGGCTGGGAGAATTCTCGAAAGTTATGCAAACCTTCGACTGCATCTCGGGTTTGCATAACTGTCTCGAATTCTCCCAGCCTCCCTTGTGTTTAGGAGAGGCGATGTAAACACGGAAAAAGTACCCTATTGCTTTAATGTAACAGAAAAGCTCTCCAGAAGATGTCACGTCATGTTTTTGCCATCAGCATGAGTAGTTACTTAGCAGCATCCCCTAGGGAATCTGCACGCTGAATTTCAGACCGACAGATGTAATACAGTACCTGGTACTTATGTTTTTGCTTCAACAAAGGATCTGCCAGTTGAGCTTCCAACTTCACATGTTAGCTCAATAATTATTGATGTTTATATCTCTGCCTCTTCTCGGTGCAGGTACTAACCTTGCTATTAGGGACCGAAATCCAGGCGATATTTCGCACTTTGCTTTGATAATATCTGACTGCTTACTCGTTGGTGACGCCTTTTCCAGGCGTTCTGTTAGTTGAGGATTATTGAAAAGGCCAGAAATACTTCTGGAGAGGGCTTTAAGAAAGACTAGCCTGCAGACCAGGTATTCGAGGGGGTGGAGCGCGGAGCGCGGTACACGAGCGCGAGGGCAAGCTTTGCGAGGGATTAGCGCGAAGACGGTAGGTGAGGGCTTTGGGCGAGTTTCGAAAAAGACTGTCTTCCACCTTCCACCGACAAACTCTCGTCTTCGTTTTCGTTGTTATTGACGCTCCTCTAATCGAAATAACTGGACAGTTTCAGGATAGTTGCTTGTCAATGTTGCGCGGAGCTACTGGAAGATTGGAACGCGGAGCTCTTCTAATCTATGGAGAGCGTGATGGGGAACGTGAGGGGTCGAGGGAGGGCTGGATGATAAAAGAGCCCACGATGTCTTACCGCTGAAAAATACAGATGGCAGATGAAAATGGTGTTTACGCTGCGTCAGGGTGCATGTGATGGAAAACGCCGTAAAATACAGAATTTTTGTGAAGGATGCAAATTTATTTGCCACTGAACGCACCTTGGAAGCACTGTTAACTAATTACCTGGCTTTTTTAAGTCCACTTATTGATGATTTCATTTGGCAACATGAGCCCCTCTGTATCGCCACCAAGGACAGTAAAGGTTTGTAGCTAAAAGACATTGTTAAATCAGTGATGTTTCTTGCAACTTTGTTTGGAAAATTGCTTTACACTTAATAGAACTATGAGCTACTTTTTTCCAATGACTGTGGCTGATTGCAACGTTGCAAAATCGTTCATGGTTGCCCACTTCCATGGCCAAATATCCGAAGAGATGACAATTGAACGCGCGAGTTAATAGACGCGTAAATTTGTTTGTGTGCAGACAAAGAGACAGACAGACAACCAGACAGATACGATTAAAAATTAAAGCTTAGTAGCTTATGGACCGGTCTCAGCTGTGTGCCATCTGAAGTCTACTTTAGGTACTCTGAAGTCAAGAAAAGTGGCAAAGTTGAAACTGTCCTTTTACCAACATTTGTTGCTCTGCATGCTTGGAAAAATGTTTGTGCCTGTGCAAGGTCTTGTCAGACATTACTTCCATACTCTACAGACTGGGTCCAGTGCATGTCCTATGTGCATCTCACCATAATTCAGGTGCCAACTTACAAAAAAAAACAAAGTTTGGGATTTTGCTGATATTTTCCTCTTCTCAACATCCAAAAAACTTAGAACTTAATTGAGTTCCACTGTTTCAACCATGGAAATGTGTCAAAAAATCCCCTAACATTTCCCAAAATCGGTCAAAATAAGTGTGTAAACATGCACTTTAAACATTTTCCTTCATATCCAGATTTCTATATTTTTAGGCTGGCATCTCTTAGTAGCATTTCGGTCCCACAGCTAGTAGAGGTGTGGTTAGTTATGTGGTGTACGTCATGCACAGTTTTAAGGTCAAATATTTGGCTTGACTTGAGTTGACTTGCACCAAATGTCATGCCATACTTAATTGACTTTTTGTTTACAGGAGATGTCCCTGCTCATCTGTATGGGAAAACAAAGTTTGGTGACAATGTTGATGATGAATGGTTCATAGTTTCTCTTCTCTTCAAACTTTCCAAGGCTTTCCCTGAAATATGTATTAGGTAAGGTAATGGACAAAACTGCCTTCGCGAACTTTAAGTGCTTATGTTCTTGTCACGTGGTATTTTTACCGTGCAATTCAAATGCCATTTTGGAGGGCAAAATAGCACAAATTTGGCGGCTTGTATAATCGGGAATTTTCCCCCTAAAAGTTTCCAACTTTGGAAACGTGTATTTCAAATGGCAAATTTTATAATTACACATAACATTTCTGCATCATATGCACTTTAAAAGTCCTTGTTTGAAAGGTAATTTAGAACTGAGACTGAAGACATTTCAATCTCCAAGTATATGTAGCATATACTCTTTGATTGACTGTAGAAAAATTATCCAAGTGACACTCCCTTAAAATTTTTATTTATAATAGTAATAATAGTAATAGTAATAGTAATAGTAATTCTGTAAAAAGATAGGTCTTGAGGGCCCTCTTAAAACTATCAGTCAATTTCCATCTGCACAAAGCTAAGGATAAATATAATTATTCCAAAGTCTCGGAGCAAATACAGAGAATGCTCTATCCCCGTAAGTCTTAGTAAATGAGCTCGACTGATCTTGAAGCATATTTGTTAACAGAGCATATTGATCTTAAGGGAGTACGATAATGTAACAAATAAGTTATATAGGCTGGAGACATACCATTTGCACGCTTAAACACTAACAACAAGACTCTAAAAACTATACGATAATGAACTGGGAGCCAATTGTCATTTAGTAGGTAGCTGAATTTGCAATTTTTCTTTCTCAAGGATCAGGTAAATAGGCTGCAGATAAATAGGCTGCAGATAAATAGCCTACAGATAAATAGCCGGCAGATAAATAGTGGCTGAGATCATGAAGTAGATGGTGATTTTCATTTTCCCCTGCGGCCAGTTACTTCTTACAACCCTGATAGAGATACCAAAATTTCAAAAACCTTGTACGCAACATAAGCACTACTTTAAGCAATGTTCCTTAGACAATTAAACAATGTAGTGACTCAAATCCTGCCTTGATGTCCCCCAGTCACCCGTGCAATAGTAAAAAATATGATAATTAACTAGTGAGGAGGGGCACAGGGAATCCTTCCTGCACTTGTGCTCCTCACTCGCTACCAGCTCCTGATCATGCCGTCTTGCTCACTCCCAGTCTCTCAATCGCCCTTAGCGCTAAAAAAAAAATGAGAAAAGCCTGTGGAGGAGGCAGACTCAAATCCCTACAGTGGACATGAGTTGTTCCACTTTATGTACTGTAAAGGTTTTGTAGTGTTAAATATTTGACCATATATTTTTCATAGTCAATAAATTTTTGTTTTGATTTACTTCCAAATCTCAGTATATCAGACAATGATGGTGAATTCCTTTTGATCGAAGCAGCTCATTTCCTACCAAGATGGCTTAATCCAGACAACAGCAAGAACAGAGTAAGCCAGCTGTTACTTCATACACTGCATTGTTTCTTTCTCTAGGCAAAACATGTCAGACTTTAAAAATGCTCAAAAAGTGGTGTTCATGTATTCTGCTGTGTTATGATGTCACAGAACCTTATACATGGATACTGTTTGTTTGTGTGATTTTTGCTCTTGACTTTCCAGTTTAGTGTCGCATATAGTCACCTTCAAACCTTGCTTGGTTTTTTCTTTAAGTTATTATTGTTTTCAGGTTTTTGTTCATGATGGAAAAGTTCATATTATTCCCATTCCCTCCAACCCTGGAGAAGTGACGATATACCCAACCGGTACTCCCATAATAGATCAGGCACTACAGTTAGTGTTTGGCCCTCACAATACTGAAGCAGCAGCAAAGATCCAAAAGACAATCAATCAAAGGATTGAGATGTAAGAACCTTCATTTTCTTTTAGTCTAATACAGCAAGATTTGATGCTTTGTCTACTTTGTTATATACTGGATACATGTACCAGCTACATTCTTGTCAGGGTATTTACTTGTCTTTGTCACTTCAGACTTTCAGAGCAATCTCAGAACAGTTTCCATCATGCTCACTGCTATGTGCCTGCAGAGGTGAAATATGTTCTTGATCAGAAGCCATCTTTGATCAGTCCAATTGTCCAGGCATTTTATGAGAGGGTTCCTACTGATATGAAGGTTTGTTATACTGCAGTATTCTGTAGTCCACAGTGTCTTCTTAGGGAAAGTATATGTACCTTGATCTATTTTGCTACAGAGAGTTACAAAATAATGTGTTCTTTGTGTATGACTGGAATCATGATCAATAAATATTGCTTTGTCACATAGATGTTAACTGAATTGAGTGTGGTCTGACCAAGGTAAATTAGGTAAAGTCTGCATACAAAGCCAAATGGCCCATTAGGCTGGAGTTTATCCCGGTTTCTGTAGCACCAAGTGACTAGGAATATTTTCACTCCCCTCTGGATGGGATGCTAGTCCATCACAGGGGTACCCCCAGCATTAAAATTGCTGTGACCAAGACCCGGTGTTTAATGCGAAGAACTTTCCTTTAGCCTTCAGGATGATGAGTTACCCTTACATGGAAGGTGCCCACTTTTTCCTTACTGGAGGACCTTGCAAATGAAGTGTTTTTCTGTGGTTGGTCCTGACCATGTTTTAGTGTCGCCATGTGAGAAGTACTCCCTTAGACATGTTCCTTTGTGAGAGGTTTTTTGTTACTTGGTCTACTTACCACTTTGCACTGTTTGGTGCAGGAGGTCATCCTAACTGTATATGTACGCAACAGTATTGTAATATTCAAGTTCTGTAGCTTGAAGCAGTTAGATGTATTGGTAGTACTTCTCAGCCCGATGCTAACTACATGTGGTCAGGTTACCCCTAAGTTAGTGCTGGAACCCAGACTGTTTCAGCCAGAGTCCAAAGCACTAACCATTAGGCTGCTGCTGATCCCATGTGACTTTGTGTCCAAGTGTCCTCTTACAGGGGGAGTCCCTGCCACTGCATCTCCACCCTGCTCATCTATACAAACTTGTTTTTGTTGACTTCATCTCTTCTCTGTCTGCTCAATATCATTTCTGGCTCTTACAGTTACCTGTTTACAGTTGTATAATTCTGCACTTTGTACTGTACTGTTGACATCTCTTTCTACATTTCAGGCTTGTAGGACAATGGAACAATTTACACTGAAAACTAGACTAATGTCCAGGGTATGTAATGTTATTATAACATTCTGTTATTGGTATTGTTCTATACTATCATGTGTAGTCATTATCACATACTGCTTTGATTAATAAGATTAATTTTTCCATCGATTTCAGATATGTTTTACACGATGCCTATATGCCCAGTTATCCCAACAACCGTTCAAGCCAGACAGACGATCAGACTGGACTTTGCCTCCTGTTTCAAATCCTCAGTATAAAGCACATGAGATGGGTCTGAAATTGGTAATAACTTATTATAATAAATTATGGAATTGAAAAGAAAAAATGGTGCTGTATTTGTTAAGCTTAGTGTTAGTTATTCCCTATGATAGCTTTTAAATTAATGGTAATAAATGGCATATCAAAGTGACACCCCCTTCCACCTTTCCCAGATACTATACTTGAGGGGTCAGGGCAGCCAAGTTTGTGATCCTGCTTCGCATTCAAATTTTAACAGGAATTCATGCGTAACATACTTTTGTAATGTAGCTACTTTTAACAACAATTTTTTTTCCATAAATTCATGAATCATGCATGTCTTTTCTTTCTTTATGCATCACACATTAATTTTTGCTCTCATCACATGTCACACATAAACCCTTTACCACCCTCATGCTAGGCATGCTAGTCTAGTGGTCGAAAAGATTAAGGAGATGGAGATGGAGAAATCTTGTATTAATTAGATGTTATTGATGGTCTGAATGGCAAGCGGTTTCAGGCCTTGAGGAGTACATTTGGGAAGATTAATGTTAGTATTCCAATCTGTCAACATTTTTAAGTAAATCTTTTTTATTCATTTAGTGTTTTAAGAATTTTACTCTCAAGGTTTACAGTTGGTGTGATGTCTCAAGATTTTTTCCTGCTTAACTTTTGTAGTTCTAGAATGAACCTTGCAATAACACTTGGACAATTATCAATCATAGTTACAACAACAATCAACAAACATTAAAAAGAGGCATACAAAATGGACCAAATTCTACCAATCACAACCAACAGATGTGGCCCTTTGAAACCATTGAATGGTTTCTGTTTCTTGAGAGATCCACTAAAACCATTAATATCAGCAAAAAGTTGCTTGACTGTGTGTTATTAAAAGACGCAGTAATGATAACTACCAAGTAATTGGTGAAGATTTAAATAATTATTCTCATCACAGATGAAGTTTTAATAGATTTTCATTTCGCTTGAAGGCCTGTGGATTTCAGATCTTGTGTAGAAGAAATGGAACAAAAGAAGTTGAGTTAAAGGTATCTAAATAAATGTTGTGGTGTGAGTGGTCAGGAGGAGCGTTTCATCATGATCAGATCTCCCTTAAAAGTAACCGAGAATTAGAAATGGATCTTAGTTTGCTGTTTTAGTGCTGCACAGACAGTCTACTTAACAAATCGAATGTGGTTCAGCGTTGTCGGTACTCTTATCGACAACGATATGCGTCATCACGGTGGTCAAAATGTTGTAGACTCATGAGGCGCAACCGAGTGAGTCCTCAACAAATTTTGACCAATGTGATGACGCATATCGTTGTTGATAAGAGTACAGACGACGCTAAACCACATGCGATTTGTTCTTTACCACAATATCAACGTCAAAGAAAATGTTTTTTTTAGAGCGTGATCAAGAGCGTGACATATTGACGCGAGCATTGTTGTCTGGACTCTTACTGACAACGGCAAATTAGACAATCAGATTGCCACTGAACATCTGATTATAGTGCACAGAAGCGTTGAGGTCAGTTTTCTGAAAGATTACGCAAATATGCATTGCGGACCTACTGTTTGATGAGTTCCTCCGAGAGTAACAGAAACCAAGCGACCTTAGCTTAACTGTTGCGTGGTAAAACTGTAGCAAAACAAGTTCAATTGTCACAGACTCAAGGATACAAAGGCACTGTTTAGCATACATGTAGGTGTGGTATAAGTTGCCTGGCTTATACTTTGCATCGAATATGTCAAACCTGTCCAAATTTGTGGCAGGAACGATTTCTGCCATCACTGTGTGAAGTACACCTTCAGGTTCTTCTTTCTACACTGTTTGTTCGCTGAGTTTTTCGGTTACTTGCGTTTAGAAAAAAATATTGCGCAAGTTCTATGGAACAGTACTTAAGGATATACTTGTGACATAAAACATTGTGTAACAATGTTCAAGCAAAGCGCTTGCATGTGATTTACAGGGACGGAGTCAGTTTGCCTTCCTTCTGCAATTCATAGTTAGATGTCTAATAACTGAACTTTCCATTTACATGTACAATATAGGAAGAAAATGATCCTAAAGGACCAAGGTGGGAGAAATTCTTAGCTTGTCTGACCGAGCAAGGTTATTTCAAGGTAAACGTTTAACCCTCGTTAATACTTCTTCGCTTTTCTTGCAATCTTTTCATTGAATGTGACCAGATTTATTTATCGAACTTTCCCTGGTTTTCGCTCTTTTCCTTTCAGCGCATTCGTGTTTGGTTTGTATGTGACCTCGTTTTGTTTCTGTCCTTCTCTTCCAGGGTGAAGTTGAAGGCTCAAGACTGCACCAGGATCTTCTTAAGAAGGCAAAGCATCAATTCAGTGAAACTTTTGCAGGTGAAAACAGGTTGGTGAACAACTTTCATATCGCTAAGCCATTGAATATCCTCTTTAAAGGCTGTTAAGTTTTATGTAGCAATTCTGATTATTCCCTGAGTGTTCCGAATTTTGCAATACGGAGCGCTTTGTGAAACCACTCCAAATACTTACGGTGAATTGTTTTGGCAAATCTTAGTAGAAAAGAAAATAGTGTGTTGTCAAGAAGATAACTTTTCCCCTCCACCTCTTGAAGACAAAATCTCCTAGTTAAACGCAAATACAGTCAAACCTCTCGTAAGCGACCACCGGCCAAAATGTCAAGCCTATATGGTCGCTTACGAGAGTTTAGACCATATTGAATCAAAATTTTGCCTCATTGGAACATGGTAACTGACGAGACTTACAATGTACCCCATACGCCAATGCTGATGCAATATTTTATTCCTGTAAAAAGTCAATTTAGAGAAAAAAATATCCGGTTCTTCCCATTGAAAATTTCTGTCTCTTGTACTACCCAGGAATACGATAATGTTACAACACCATATTATCCAATTTTCGCTCTATTATCTGTCAAGTGGTCCCTTACGGGAGGTTAAAGAAAAAGAAAATTGCAAACATTTAGCTCTGAAAGTAGTCGAGGTCACTTACGAGAGGTGGTCGCTTACAAGAGGTTCCAAACATAGTGATTTGACTTGGAAACATTGGTATTTTGGAAAACTGGTCGCTGAGGAGAGGTGGTTGCAACCGGAGGTTCGACTGTATATGAACAACCCTAACGGTTCAGTGCTTTTGTCTGGGCTTCCTTGCTTAAATAAATCGTGGAACACTGTTTAAGAGTGAATGCCTATAAAAATGGACCTAAATCGCCTATCAATGGCACAAGTCGAAAAATTGATTTCGCTTGTATTTTGTTCAGAGATAGGTCCTAGTAAGAATAGAAACGGACCATAGTTAGTTTCTGCTAATACAGCTTTCTTTGGTAGAAATACGCCAAAAACGATTTCGACCCGACTGG